AGCGGCGCCTGATTAATGCCAATACATATTGCTTGAGATAACCATTTAGTGGTTAATTTAGCCAAATGTATTGCCTGCGTATCCGTGTAGCAACACAGCGCTATCTGGTGGAGGTGGAAGGTACTAAAATGCTATTTCAGGTGTATGTTGTTGTCATCCTTTACTGGAGTCTGACTATCAAAAAACACAAAGTGCAAAAGGTTAAAGCTCTTTGTATTCTGATAGAAAACAGGAGGATGTTCAGGTGTATATCAGTATGTAGTGTCTCTACTTTAAAGAGTCCTCTCCTGCTGATGTTCAGGTGTATATCAGTATGTAGTGTCTCTACTTTAAAGAGTCCTCTCCTGCTGATGTTCAGGTGTATATCAGTATGTAGTGTCTCTACTTTAAAGAGTCCTCTCCTGCTGATGTTCAGGTGTATCAGTATGTAGTGTCTCTACTTTAAAGAGTCCTCTCCTGCTGATGTTCAGGTGTATATCAGTATGTAGTGTCTCTACTTTAAAGAGTCCTCTCCTGCTGATGTTCAGGTGTATATCAGTATGTAGTGTCTCTACTTTAAAGAGTCCTCTCCTGCTGATGTTCAGGTGTATATCAGTATGTAGTGTCTCTACTTTAAAGAGTCCTCTCCTGCTGATGTTCAGGTGTATATCAGTATGTAGTGTCTCTACTTTAAAGAGTCCTCTCCTGCTGATGTTCAGGTGTATATCAGTATGTAGTGTCTCTACTTTAAAGAGTCCTCTCCTGCTGATGTTCAGGTGTATATCAGTATGTAGTGTCTCTACTTTAAAGAGTCCTCTCCTGCTGATGTTCTGGTGTATATCAGTATGTAGTGTCTCTACTTTAAAGAGTCCTCTCCTGCTGATGTTCAGGTGTATATCAGTATGTAGTGTCTCGACTTTAAAGAGTCCTCTCCTGCTGATGTTCAGGTGTATATCAGTATGTAGTGTCTCTACTTTAAAGAGTCCTCTCCTGCTGATGTTCAGGTGTATATCAGTATGTAGTGTCTCTACTTTAAAGAGTCCTCTCCTGCTGATGTTCAGGTGTATATCAGTATGTAGTGTCTCTACTTTAAAGAGTCCTCTCCTGCTGATGTTCAGGTGTACATCAGTATGTAGTGTCTCTACTTTAAAGAGTCCTCTAATCAGGCATGCTTACACACTAAGATTAGCGTAAATCTCATATTAACATGTTAGCGCAAAGTTTCAAAACGTAACCTAAAAAGATCTCATCATGAAGAGCATCCTTGGACAGACATTATGTGATAGTATGTGAGTTTATTGTCTCAGGGCAATCAGAGAAACACAGATACATTAACAGACAGCCAAACACACACACACACACACACACACGGAGGTTGGCAGTGTGTGTTGGTCTGATTAATGACGGCAGCTCTCAGCCAGCTGTCACATGACATCTGATGACTGCCTCTCTCTCTTCCTCTTCCTCTCTTTTCTCTCGTGTGTGAAGAACAAGCTGCTCAGTCTGATGTCCAAAAGTTTGAAACAGCCAGACAATCCAACTGAATCCACCGTGACATAACAAACCCTCTCTCTCTCTCTCTCTCTCTCTCTCTCTCTCTCTCTCTCTCTCTCTCTCTCTCTCTCTCTCTCTCTCTCTCTCTCTCTCGCTCTCTCTCTCTCTCTCAGTGATAAACAAGGGTCAGTGTGTGACAAAGTACTACCGGTGGATCCAGAAGAACAGCGGCTACATCTGGATCCAGTCTGCTGCGACGCTCACCATCAACACCAAGAACGGCAACGAGAAGAACGTCATCTGGGTCAACTACGTCCTGAGGTCAGAGGTCAACTGGGGTCTCAGTTTTAATAAATCTTCCCTGACTTATAACCAGAGATGGCAAAAGTACACACGTCCTTCACTCAAGTAGAAGTACAGATACTCGTGTTTAAAAATACTCTGGTGAAAGTAGAAGTACTGACTAAACTTCTTTACTCAAGTGAAAGTAAAGAGGGCTTTGAAATGTACTTCAGTAAAAAGTACCCATAACTAGCAGCTGTTTTAAAGAGTACCTGACCTCCCTTTATATTAATAGAACAATAATGTCATTGTTAGCTAATGAATGTTTCCATGCTGAACAACGGCAACATGACAACGTTTTCATTGGTCCCTCTTCTTTAGAGAAGACCAGGAAATGATGGATACACGGATCGTGTTCAAATCAATAGGCACGCAATGACTCTAAATAATAATGATCACGCCACCAAACACACATTCAAACTAAAGGAACCAGCCTGTTTGGGAAATGTGAGAAGTAGAAAGTACAGGTATTTGTGTTCAACATGTAAGAAGTAGAAAGTACAGGTATTTGTGTTCAACATGTAAGAAGTAGAAAGTACAGGTATTTGTGTTCAACATGTAAGAAGTAGAAAGTACAGGTATTTGAGTTCAACATGTAAGAAGTAGAAAGTACAGGTATTTGGGTTCAACATGTAAGAAGTAGAAAGTACAGGTATTTGAGTTCAACATGTGAGAAGTAGAAAGTACAGGTATTTGTGTTCAACATGTAAGAAGTAGAAAGTACAGGTATTTGGGTTCAACATGTGAGAAGTAGAAAGTAAAAAGTGGTCAGAAAAATAAGTAGTGGAGTAAAGTACTGATACCAGAAACATGTACTTAAGTACAGTAACAAAGTATTTGTACTCCAATACTTCCCACCTCTGCTTATAAAAATAAAAAAATTATGCAAATAAGAAAAAGATGAGCGTACTATAACGGATTGATTAATGCATGTATGGGACAAATGAATTAGTTAATTGAATGTATGTAATGTGAATTACTGTATATTGTGAAATGCACGTTGAAAAATATATTATTGCAGGGAGTTGTTAGCATCCAATGCAAGTAATTTAACATGTGAGAGAAAATAGAAACAAACAAATCAGTAAAGATGTTTATTCAAGGTTTAAAAACATATTTGGCGTCATTCAAAGCTACTTCCCCAACTTTGTTCTTAATGAATGAAAAATTATGAACAAAGCTACAAGAATGAGCGTATGATAATGAATCAAAAATGCATGTATGCAACACATGTATTAATTTAAATGAATGTATTTAATGAGAATGATATAGTGAAATGCACATTTAATGTTATATTATGCAGGGAATTCATATGTGAGAAAATATGAATGAGTTCAATTAATGTATGTATTGGGAATTGTATTGTAAAATTACACAAATGCACATTAAGTATAATATGTTTGCAAGTAATTTAATATGTGAGAGAAAACACTGAAAAAGCTTAAACGGGACCTATCTTGCAAATGCACTTTCTGATGTCTTCTCTACATCAACATGTGTCCCCGGTGTGTCCCCGGTGTGTCCCCGGTGTGTCGGGGAACTCACGCAGCGTCAGGAAATAAAACCCTCTCTCTTTTCCTCCGTACCCAAATCTCTAAAAACGGGGGAACAACGGAGCTGATCCAGATTTGCGTCCGATATGACGTAATATCTGAAATGTGGACCCACGGCCCTATCAGAAACGTTGCTATCAGAAACAATGCCCGACTGTTTTGGACGTAATATGGTCGGTGTTTACATTAGCATCGCTAACACTCAGAGCTAACCTGTACTGGAGAGCATGTGTGTGAAGAAGCAGGAAATAAAAAGGAACTCACCTTGTGGTATAACCGGCAAGAGAGAAAGCCTTTGAGCTCCATACTGTTTCAGAGAGAATCCTTGATAATCCATGATATGGTGTTTCATCACGGCAGTATTTAGTTTAGACGGTAGCTGCCGGGTCCCGCATAAGCTCCGCCCCTCTTTTTTATTTTTTAAAGCTTTATACCCAAATCAGCACTTTAGAAACAGGAAGTGAAACAGAGGGATATGAGGCATGGCTAGAATGGGTGATCTGTTTGGTATTTTGAGCAAAACACTTCATAGACATGTTTTTTATATATTTGTATATATCTGAGACCTATGCTATTGCCTAAAAATAGCATCATAGGTGACCTTTAAGTAAATATCTTCCTTTTTGTCATTTCAGTCATGATTCCCTTTGCTTAGTGTTGGACTATGATTGAATATCATTGTTTTAAATCTAGTTAAATTGGGATGTGTGAATATAAAAGGTTATATCGTTCTTAAACTAAACACAAACATATATGACGTCAAGGGTGGGACTCGATATGGACTTCATTTTACAATTTTTCGCCAATTAGCATCTTTTATTAGCTTAGAAACAAATGAGGGTAAAGTTAAGTATTGTACGTGTTCCCACTGACTGAAACTAAACTATTTTTGTGCTTTTTTTTTGCAGTAATCATGAGTATAAAGACTTCCCCATGGACATCTTCCAGCTGCCCAACCTGCCCGAGAAAACCTCCGAGTCCTCCGAATCCTCCGACTCCGAGTCCGAGTCTAAAGAAAACTCTGGTAAGTCGGAAAGAAAAGACGAAAGAGAGAAGATTAAATATCATTTTAGAAAGAAAAGGAATATGATGAAAATAGTACGTTAAAATGAACACTAAGACAAAGAAGTGTACCAATATGAGGGCATAATATCCTGTCTTTTTTTAGCCCTGAGCGCAGGATTAGCTGAAAAGAGTCCAGGAAGCTTATTTACAAGTTAACAGCGTTTAATTAAACAATGATACGATGATACAATGACATTTGCAAGGATGGCGGCTCCCCCGATGGTCAGCTGGTCCGTTCGCGTGGGTCAGCTGCATGGATGTATAATAAGAACTGGATACAGCGTGGGAGGCGGGGCCTCGTTCATTCCTATGAGAGTTGCTCATTGGTGCATGAAGACAAAATGGCCCAACTTTTGAGAGAGCGAAACGTCACAAAAGTATTCATATAATCATATAATCCGTTCTTATTGTGCATCCATGGGTAAAGGTAAAACTCATGTAGTACTGAACACGTCACATGAACGTGCCGGGCGGCGCGGTCCCGTGGGTTAGATGCGCGTTCATAATGCAGAGGAAAATAACTCTCAGAATAACGTTAGTAGCACATTTTACAACTTGAGGACCGAATGTTTTTAATAAGGGCTATACAAACGTTCATACTGGGTAGTTTATTTAGTTTAAAAAAAATTATACATTATATATTTACAGACGTCTCTTTCCCAATGTTAGTCGATGGGAAAAAGTATTTCCGGGCCCAGCGACTGATACGGAAGTGTAGTACCGCCGTTTGGCCACAACGAATATTTTCCTCAGAGTCCGGCGCACTTCCTGGGGGCTTGCGGCTCCCCCGTTGGTCAGCTGGTCCGTTTGCGTGGGTCAGCTGGGGAAGAGGCCGATTTCCTGTGTGCATCACATGTTAAAGTCTAAAGTCTTCTCCCATTGGTCGGCGTCAACGGGGGCGGGACCAAGGCACGTTCTGTCGTTTTCTGGTGTTAGTTTTACAATATTCTAATATCTGTTGGTCATTTAAACATTCCCTAATAATAGTATTGCAGCGTCAATAAGTGAGGGTTTCTCCTTAAATTCACGTACACAAAACATAATATTAGCTACATGCTAATGCTAAATTGAAGTTAACAATATTTACTCGCGAAAACCGGAAGTCGAGTGTGAACATCCGGTTTCCGGAATAAAACAGCTTTAAATTAGAACAGTGTATTCATTTAAATTACGCCATATAAATATTGATTTTATTCCTTACATTATCCAATCCAATCCAACTTTATTTATATAGCACAATTAAAAACCTCAGAGTCGTCCGAATCCTCCGACTCTGAGTCCGAGTCTAAAGAAAACTCTGGTAAGTCAAAAAAAGACACGAGCAAAGAAAGAAGATTAAATGTTATTGGGAAATATTATTTTAGAAAGAACATGGTGTATGGGAAACAACCAGAGTAAATATGTTGAAAATAGTACATTGAAATGATATTACTTAAGTTATTTTAGTCTCTCACATATTAAACTACTTGCATTGGATGTTAACTTCCTGCAAAATATTATACCTAATGAGCATTTGTGTCATTTTACAATACAACTCCCAATACATACATGAATTTAACTCATTAATTTGTTCCGAGAGAAAGAAGGATACTTATATGAACCAAGGGCAAAATATCATGTCTTTTTTCCAGTCACAATATCCTTATAAAGCCTGTTTGTTTCCCTACATGCACCTCTTCAAGTGTTATAATAACCAGCAGTAAGAAATACAGCCTGAAATACAGCCAAAGATGTTTTATCAGTGTTTGCCAGGCTCGATGATGATGAACGCCAACAACTGCAGGGGAGAAAGAGCTCTTTCTGGCAGCGCTGCAAAAGAACGCCACAAAAATGACATGAAACACGGCGTAACTCTACAGAACGCCACAAATACTTCCTCACTAAACTGCACAAAAAGGCCTCAAATCACCACTGAACTATCGGTGAATAAAGCACCGAAACACAACAAATGGCAATAAAATCCCACGTTGTGCAGCATCGAACCAAAGCCCGGAAAATGAGGGTGATAGGAATATTGTTTCCAATCTTTAGGGGCGGATAAACTTTTAGAAGTTGCCAATATTTCTCAGGAAATGTCATCTTATGTTGGAGGAAATGGCAATAAGTGCAGTCGGCCAATCAGCACATCCCGTTGTTTGTCCAGGGAACTCTTTTGTTTGTGTTCTAGTTAATTTAACATATTTAATAATATAACTTCTGTGGTTCTTGCTCCAGTACATTTACTATAAACCGGGTTATGTTAGAAATACAGAACAGTCATCTCGGATCGTTACCTTTTCTTATCGTTATGATAGAAATGAAACCTGCCGTACGAGAGAAATGTTCTCGGGGTAATCTTTAGGGGATCTGACTCAAAATAACATGTTAAAAAAAGTGGAATAAATTAAGCATTTCATTTTAAACTCATTATTAAATCCACAATAAGATTTGACACCTACAACTTTTTTAAAGATTAGGACATTTGGGCTGTTCTACTTATTGCAAATCACACAAATTATACAAAAAATGTTCACCAATAACTAATCTGTAAGAGGTTGACCAATCACAACAGAGCCGGCCAGATAACCAATCAGAGCAGACTGGGCTCTGGTTTCAGACAGAGGGTGAAAAGAGGTGCTGCAGCACAGAGAAAAATAAAGAGCTTTTTGAACATTAAAGCATGGAGACATGTCCCAGTCGAGAAAAGTATACATAACCTGTCACTAGAAACCCAATAACTAACACTACAGGGAACAAGACCTCATGTGAGCATTCATACAGAAAGAAAATAGACCCTAAAAATACCAGAAATATATATAATACAAATCAGGGATTAATTTAACTGTGTGTCACCAACACTGAAGACGCTCACACTCTGCCAATATCGTTGAATTTGAACCAAAACACGGCCTCAAAATAACATGTTAAATTAAGCATTTCATTTTAAACTCATTATAAATTTGATTTGACACCTACAACATTTTTTTAAATTAAGATTTTTAATTGTTAAAAACCTCATGATTTACACTACAGGGAACATGAACCAATGTGAGCATCCATACAGAAAGAAAATAGACCATAAAAATACTGAATCCAGAAATATATATAATACAAATGAGGGATTAATTTAACTGTGTGTCACCAACACTGAAGACGCTCACACTCTGCCAATATCGTTGAATTTGAACCAAAACAGAGCGAAATATTATCAGGTCCTGCAGCCTATGTGATGGAATCAGAGCCAGCTGCTGTTCGCGCTGCAGGAGGAAGATTCTGGCTCGCTTTCGGCTGTAAAACCGTGCCAGATGCTGCAGATCCAGCCAGCTCCAACACGCCCGAGGTGCTCAGGCTCAACATATTCTAAAATGAGATATCCGACCTTTGACCTTTGTTCTGTTCGGATGCAATCTGTGCAGAGAAGACACGGAAAACAGCAGCCAGAAACATCTTTCTATTATACGTGGTGCATTAACAGGACGTTCATATGAGACAAGTTTACAAAGATGCCCCAAATTACCAATTGAGGATTAATCCATCGCAAAAAATAATCCCCAAAATATCAGGCACAATATGCTGGAACGTGACTTTGTATATAATCTTTAATTATTTTGTATTTTATTCTATCTTTATTGGACATGTTATGTTTATATAATACAATTTATTTCACTTTATTTTATTCTAAAAATGTCATGAAAACCAATTTGAAGTTCATGATTCTGAATGACGATTTTCCGGTTTGATAAAAACAAGTGATGATGCTTTTTAGGAAATTAAAGGGATGTATTTGAACATTGTGAAGGGTTGTTCAAGATGTACGTGTTCATTAGAAACTAAATGACTGGATTCAATCTCAATAAAATGACGACGAAAAATATAGATAATGGCCAGCGTTATGCTATAAATTGGGTTGGAGCAAAAGCCAAGAAATGTTAAAAAATACTTCCCATAATGCAACTTGATAGGAATTGTAATAGACCCTACCCTCTGTTGGACGGTTAGTAACATAGGATCCTCTTTAAAACCAATCCAAACTAACGAAAATGGCAATGTCTATAAAAATATCGATATTTCCATTTGGTGGACAACTAAATAAATACATCTAAGACTTTATTGTTTTATCTTTGACAAATCTTGGTTCTTTTTTACCAAATCAAACCAAAACCCTCCGCTAACACTGAAGACTTTTGGTCAACGCTTGTTTCCAGACCGAGAAAGAAATGTGCCGTTTACTTGGAAAGCTCGCCTAATAGAGATACAAGGTTTTCCCCAGACAAAGCAATTGAGTCGACATTTCAGGTGCCATGAGGGAGTCAGAGCGCTGCCAGCTGGGCAGCCGCTGGCCTGTGTGTGCTGGCAGAGTTTGAAGTGTGTGTGTGTGTGTGTGTGTGTGTGTGTGTGTGTGTGTGTGTGTGTGTGTGTGTGTGTGTGTGTGTGTGTGTGTGTGTGTGTGTGTGTGTGTGTGTGTGTGTGTGTGTGTGAGTGAGTGTGTGTGTGTAATGGGCTGGACAGCACAAACATGCCTGAACAGCAGCAGCTACAGATACTGAACACACATCAGTGCGTCCACAACACAACTCGACATGGAAATCCTGTCCGGGAAAAGAAAGGGATCAACACCTGAAGCACCTGAGAGTCACTGCTCTGGAATCCAAATTGGACAGACTCAAGCCTGAATAGTCATGTGAAGAAAGGAAGAGTCCGTTGCCTTTGTTTTCAAATGTTATGTTATGCTATTGGCTGGATTTTCAATTAAGTATTGTCCGAAGATTCATGTTTGCAAGAGGATAAACTCTCACGATGTTGGTGATCTTTTGGAGACCCAACATCCGGACAAACTTCCAAACTTATGTTGGCGTGCTTATATTTCCCAATTAGCACCTAACACAAAACTAAGGCTAATGGGAATAGCCTATTTCTAGGCCTATTAGCATTAAGATAAGCTCTTATTTATAGAAACTTGGGCTGATTTTATACTATTGGTTGGATTTGCCATTAAATATTTTCCCGAGATTCATGTTTCCAACTCTCAAACTTTCCTTTAAACACAAGAGATATTTCGTTAGCGTGCTAATATTTGCTAATTAACACTGAACACAAAGCTATGGTTTATGGGAATATCCTATTTCTAGGCATATTGTCATTAAGTAAGCACTGATGGTGGTGGTAGAGGAATGGTTACTGGATCATCAAAGTTATAAAAATTCAACCTGAGGAGAACATGAATCTCCGAAACAAAATGTTTCAGTAACTCATCCATTATTTGTCGATTCATTTCAATTGCAAATGCAACTCTAAACCTCATTGTGACACTAAGGAAACAGTCAGGGGAACATTGAAGTGGATCCATCCTCTGGGGAACATTGAGTGTCCGTGACAAGTTAATCAATTCCATTATTTGTCGAGACATTTCAATTTCAAATGCAACTCTAAACCTCTTTGTGGCACTGTAGTAAAAGCCATGGGATCATTGAAGACAATTCATCTTCTGGGGAGATGTTATATCAAATATGTGTCGAGGTGTTTGAGTCTAAACCCTGTACCTCTTTCTTTGCAACAGATAACGAGAACGCCAAGTCAGAAGGGAAGCCGAGCCTCCAATCAGAGCGCGAGGATCCCGAGACGGACAGCAAGCGTCAGCAGCAACCCGGCCAATCACACTGCTCCTCAGACCAGGAAATGAAGCGTCAAGAGGAAGGAGACAGTTCGAGTAATCCTGAGAGTCAAGACAGCGACGACAGTCTTGAACCTTCAGATGTAGAGAGGGAGGAACAGGAAGAAGCAAATGGAGGAGGTGGAGGGGGAGGAGGAGGAGGGGAGGAGGGGGAGGAAATGGAGGAGGAAGAATTGGGAGATTAACAGGATTAGTTGGGTTAGGAGGATTGGGTGCCATTGGAGGACTTGGTACTCTGGGTGGGCTTCATATTAAAGTAGAGCGCTACGGAGAGGGAGAAGATGCTCAGCTGCACAACTCACAAACTTCTTCAGAGGAGGAGGAGGAGGAAGAGGATGATGACGACGATGAGGAGGAAGAAGTCTTGCAAGATTGCGACAGCGCCAACGCCGGAAACAGGCTCCAGAAGAGGAGGAAAAGGAGGAAAGTGCAGAAATGGGATGGACCCCGAAGCAAGAGGCTCCGTCTCTCCTCAATGTCGCCTAGTCCCAACGATTTAGGAGATACTACGCCACTCGTTGACCAATCCCAGACCTCCTCATCTGCTAACTCCTCCCACCTCCTCACCTCCGCTGGATCCCCAACGAGTGCGTCGTCCTCAGTCCTGAAGATCAAGACGGAAATGGCCGAGCCGATCAACTTCGACAACGACAGCAGCATCTGGAACTTCCCGCCCAACAGAGAGATCTCTAGAAACGAGTCTCCGTACAGCATGACCTCCAAACCGGCCCCTCCCTCTTCCCACGAGAGCTTCCCCTCACCCCAGGGAGGCATTCCCGAGTCCGTCCTCACCCCTCCTGGAAACGATGGAGGGTCCGGAGGAGGAGGGAGGAAGCCTCCTTACAACGGGAACTCTTCATCTTCTTCCAGCTTAGCTCCTCCATCCAGCGCCTCCTCCTCCGACCCTCTATCGCCTCCTCTTTCCGCTTCACCTCGGGATAAACAACAACAACAACAAGGCACTCCGACAACCTCTTCTTCCTCATCTTCTTCCTCCATAACCTCGTCCTCCTCGCTGCTGTACTCTGGTGATCTCGAGGCGTTACAGCGTCTACAAGCCGGTAACGTCGTGCTCCCGTTGGTCCACAGGGTCACGGGAACGCTTGCCTCGACGAGCACCACTTCTCCACGAGTTTACACCACCGGGACCATCAGATACGCACCCGCGGACGTAACCTTGGCCATGGCTCAAGGCAACCTCCTCCCAAATGCTGCCATGAACTTTGGCGACGGCTCCGGCTTTGGTTTGGACCCTAAAACGCCGATGGAGATGCTTTACCACCACGTGCACCGGCTCAATATGTCGGCAGCAGCGGCCGCCGGTGGTCCGTTTCTCGGATCTCCAACATCCACGGTGGGAAACGGCGCTCTTGGAGGCCAGATGCCGACGGCAGCCAACGTGTTCACGACGGCGGAGGGACTTTTCTCAACTCTACCGTTCCCAGTGTACAGTAATGGGATCCACACCACACAGACAACTCTGGAGAGGAAGGAGGATTAGTGAGAGGCGTTCGAGACCGCATTACTGTGTTTCTGGAATCAAAGTTAAAGACTACTCACTAGTAACAAAACAAAAAAAAGACTTGCGTTTTATCAACACAGCACTGTGTTCCCGAGGGGAGGAAGGACAGGGAAGGATGGCAGATGTACTCTAGCACTTTGAATCTGAGCAACTGAGCTTGTGTAATAGACATGAATGACACTCAAACATGTCCCCCTTTTCTATCTTTCTCCTCTCTCCCCTTCCTCTGTCTTTGTGCGATCAGCAGCGTTTTTTGCTCTTGAACAAAGACTATTCTTTATTGTAAAGAATTTCTTTTTTTGCCTACAGAGAATTCATATTGCCTAAGGACTCCGCCGGAGCCTGACGGGGATCACTTTTATTATTTCTCTTGTTTCTGTAGCGTCTTTATGAAGATGCTGATTGTGTGTATTTAAAGGAGGACGGCACAGGGCTTTGTAATGGACAGGACACTCTTCGTGGCGCTCCTCCCGATGTATCTTGATGTGATCAAGGCTTGAAAAGGACATTTTTTAATCGGAAAAGAGGGAGCTCAGAGGTAATAATCTTTTGAAAAAAGGTTTTTGAGGACGTTTCTCGATTGAGGGAAGAGCTAAGAGAATTAATGCTGTTATTCTTTACATTTCTTCCTTTTTTTTATAAAAATATACTAGCTCAGATTTAACGTACAAATCAAGCATTGTGAAGAAAAACTAAAAAAGCAATTTCAGCCGGGTAATGACCTGTGAATTATCGAATGTTACTACTTCCTCTTTTATCCCAGGAGTTTACCTACAGGTCTCGCACCAAACATAACCTCCTCTACATCTCCTTCATCTCACTCTGTCGTCCTCTCTCTTGTCTACCGGATCTTTCCGTCTACATTTCTTCCTGTCTTCAGATTCATGGTGCTATCGAGCGTCAGTGACCCTGATCAGCTGGCTGATGTGGGAGCTGTAAACGAACCCACAGACTGATCGTGTGTTTAGTTTTGGAGGGGGAACAATCCTAGTTTTATTTTCTCTTCTGACCTTCAGGAAAGTCAGAAACACAACAAGAACCTGAGAACCTCTAAATCCACAACATCATCTCCATGTTTCGTCCTGTATGTCCTTCCTTTGTTTGTCTTAGAACAAATGTGATTGGGCCATGAGGGGCAACTCCGCATGGCAACATGGAGGTGATTGGTTGAATTTAATTTGCTACATGGTGTCATTTTTATTTTGTATGTATCTTCTAACTTAATCACTATTAGCACCATACTCCGCATGGCAACATGGAGGTGATTGGTTGAATTTAATTTGCTATATAGTGTCATTTTTATTTTTTATATGTCTTCTAACTTAATCACTTTTAATTCTCAGTGAGACTGAGGCTAATATGCTAGTGGCGCTAACTTGAAAAATGAATGTTAAAAACCTCGACCGGTTCCTGTTTGATCGCTGTTTAGTTTTATTGTTACTACTTTTTTTCCTCCTCCTTCTTCCTTAAAACAGAATCACCTCCACAAGATTTTCCTAAACAATCCACTCTCTTCCATCTCATCGCCGGACCCTGTGATAAAACAACACATATCAACAAGGAGATTGTAATAAAGACGTGCATTTTCAATCAAACTATCAAACAATCAATCCAATAACTACAAAAAAAGATATGGATTTTTAGAGGAAGAGAAAAGAAATCACATTCCTTTAAACAATGTTGTCTGTCGTTGTTCTTCTGTTCTGTGTTTCCTTCCCCGTCTACGTTGCCAAAAAAAAAGAAATCTCACAGTGTTTTTTAAAAGCACTCTGATTCTCCTTCATTTGTATTTTTTTTTTCTTCTACTTTTTGGTAAAAAGAGAAAAAAACAGAAGAAGATAATAAACAAGTAATAATTAAAACGGTAAAAAAAAAATACTGTCACGACATCCATCTTTTTAAAAGTCGACAGCCCCGTCTTTACCATCCTGTCATACCTTATTACCCAGTGTGATTAAGCCGTAAAAACGTGTTACCGATGTGTTTAGTGTCACTGGCTGTCAAAAAGTCTCTCATGGCGACTTCTCTCTCTGTGTGTGTTGACTATATGCAGTATATACTGAGCTACTGTAGCTGTTTTTGTCCTTTGTCTTCTCTGTGCTCTATCTCTAGTGTGGGGGATGGGAAATGGGCGGGGCTTAGACAGAAAGGGGTGGAGTCTACGGGATGATTGACACCCCAAAAATGGCAACCCTCTTCGTCCCCCCGCCCCCTTCTATCTGCAGTCTTAGTGAAACCAGTGGAGGTTTGTGGAATTTCGTGTTTGGTGGCCTTTGCAAAAAAACAAAAAAAACAATTTGTGGAGTCCACCTTTTTTTCCGCTGCTTCCTTTTTGTCTTTGTAAAACCTCTTTTTGTTTCATGTTGTTTTTTTTAAAGGTTTTCTAATCCTCTCTTTCTCTCTCTGCTATTGCTTTTTGCTGTTGTGTAGTCTTATACAAACCTCTTTATCTTGCTGTCCTTTCTCTCAGAGATGAAAAAGATTCTTTAACTAGCTCAAAGGTTTATGGAGCCATGTTATTTGCCACTAAGGAATTCTGGGAATTGTAGTTTCCAGCTCTTGCATTACAAAGTATTAAATAACTAATACATATTTACATTATATAGAAGACATTATGATGAGAAAAAGGCCTAAAGTAGCATTTTGTAGATTTTAGTCCTGGAAAAAAACCCATAAAAGCCTCAGTTGTGAAGCATTTCCCAGAGTTCCTTGGGGCATCCTGTGTGCATTGGGTGTATTTCATTGGTTCCCACCAAACTTGTTGACTTCCAAACTTCTCTCACGGGACAATAAGTGGTTCAGGGGGGGGGGAGCAAAAAAGAAAACTATTTCAGGACACGTGATACAAACCGATTTTAAAGATTTGTAAAGAAACTAAATGAAGAAAAAAATATTTCGCACTATAAATCTATTTTTATAGGTGTTTTGGAAAACTGAACTGCATGTTTGTAAGTTCGTCCGATGCGTTTCCTGTTAACGACCCCTCGTTTTTTGTTTTTTTTCGGTCTTATTTGTGTTTTTTAAGTCTGTCAAACGGGGACGTGTTGGAGGCCGGTCGGAAAAATTAAAGTCTGTATCGTCAAAACAACGAAAGGCCTCCAACCCCCCCCACATTCACATCAGGAAAAACACGATCCGTATATCGTCTGTACTTTCTGTGAAGTCTTGTTACCGCGACTAACACGTCACAAAAAACACGTGTATGACGTTTATTTTTCTCTTAAAAAGGGGGAATGTGATTGGTCCACTCGATCTGTCGGCTGATTGGTGGGTCGTTTGTCGTTGAATGTTAAATCCAGTCGTTTAAGGAGCCTTTTGTTTTTCGCGCTCCACTGGATTTTAGCGTTTTCTACTACTTTGGGCAGTTTTGCGTGAAAACAGGAGGGGGGGGGGCACAAATGAATGTCAAGACCCCATTTGGTGAAGAAAAAAGGGGGGGGGGGGGGCGAGTTGGGGGGCACATAACTCAGATGAAACCAGGAAATACACCCACATGTTACAAAAACCAAACAGCCGGTCCAAGCTGTTTCAATGTTTTTCTGTGTTTTATGTCGAAAAATGAAAACTTTGCTGGTGATTTTAAAAACGTTAAAAACCTTTATCACAGCTGCTGTCAAAAATACATAGTGTTTAAGAATTACAAATATTGAAAAATCACTTCATTTACCTGTGAAGAAACTGTGTCTGTGTTTTTAACTATTTCTTGTACAATTATACAGATTCTTTTATGAGGAACTTGGTGCCAAGTAGCTGAAATACGGGAGAGAGGGAATCTCTTATTATCAATGTTAACAGTGTTATACAATTCTAAATACAAACAAATTAAAATATTAAAAAAGAGAAAACTATGGTACATTTCTATTTGTTGTTTTGATTATTTTCTCCTCGCTGAAGAGGGGAAAGACACACGACTAACTGATGCTAACTTTGAGTGCCTGGCTTATCTTTTGTTGTTATTATTATTGTTTTCGTAAGACATCTTTATGAGTTCATTTATCATGAATAATGCTGCAAATCGAAAATGTATATACTTCATTTTTATAGCAGTTGTTCTTTTATAAGTTGACTAGGTTCCCATCCGTTCTGAGGAACGTCACACACATGGTCGTCTTTCTGTAACCCGGTTTGACCATCTTACAGGTGCCATATTCATAATAAAACTTTCTCTCGAATTTGTTACCAGATTGCATCCTTTCTTCTGTTTCACACCTTCAGCCATCCAACACTACGAATCTCAATAAGCTGCTTTCTGTCTCTTCTGTATATCGCATTTTCTTTTAGTTCCTCTTTTTAGTTTGAAGGCAGCCTGCTTGTGTTCTGTTTCCCTAATTAGAACCTGATGCTGCATCTTGTAACATTACATTACATGTTACTTGTTGGACGCTTTTATCCAATGCGACTTACGTACTCAATACTGTGGGCAATTTGGGGTGAAGTGTCCCAGCGACACAACGACATGCTGACTGCAGTGGTCCCAGCTGTGTGCGTCACTCTTTAGTGTCCCCTGGTCTCCCAGCTGTGTGCGTCACTCTTTAGTGTCCCCTGATCTCCCAGCTGTGTGTGTCACTCTTTAGTGTCCCCTGGTCTCCCAGCTGTGCGTCACTCTTTAGTGTCCCCTGGTCTCCCAGCTGTGTGCGTCACTCTTTAGTGTCCCCTGGTCTCCCAGCTGTGTGCGTCACTCTTTAGTGTCCCCTGGTCTCCCAGCTGTGTGCGTCACTCTTTAGTGTCCCCTGGTCTCCCAGCTGTGTGCGTCACTCTTTAGTGTCCCCGGGTCTCCCAGCTGAGTGCGTTACTCTTTAGTGTCCCCTGGTCTCCCAGCTGTGTGCGTCACTCTTATGGCGCATTTCCACCATGGCGCGGAGCGCGGTTTAAGCGTGCCGTGTCGTGCCGGGCCCGTTTTTGGTTGCGTTTCCACTAGGCCTAGTTCCGGCCCGGGGCTACTTTTTCACCTTTTTTCTGGCCCGACAAAATCGTGGTTCTATCGGGGCCAACAACCAGGCTGAGTCGGGCTGAGTTTGCTAAACTAGAGAGAGAATCGCTGGCAAGGGGGCTACAACTACAACAAGATGAACATATTTGACCGTGATTTAATTGTAATACACGTTTCAAAATGATGAAGTAACAACATACTGATACCGGTTAGTAAAAACCATGAATTAATGCTTTGACAAGTCTGCAGACAGACGGCAGGTGAAAAACCTTTTAAAATGCGCGTTGTCTAAATGGAGATTGGCTAAGCTAACGCAATATATGCTCCGACCGTCCACACTCACAACAACGGCCTATACAGACATAAATAAAGCAGCGACTGTATTCACCATGACACAGGCAGTCTGTGGTTTGAACTTGTTTAACTTTTGTCTAGTTTCTGAACAGATATGAGGAGCTGTGAGCTCTGAGTGCTAACAGCTAACGGCTGTGTT